TAGCTTATTAATCTTTGCATCCCTAGCCCCTAGCATAGGGCCTAAAATATGGTTTAGTCAATTAATTAATTAATTAATTAATTTCTATGCTATATTTTATTTACTGATCCTTTTCACCTGTATCCAAAAATTAGTATGAATATGATAGGGGAAATCTAACTAGGAATGTGAGCAAATTTTCTAATCCTTGCTTTAGTTTTACAATTAAAGGTATTAATTCAATAAATATTTATTAATTATCTCTTACACTAGGTACTGAGGGGAGAAACAAAGATAAATCATTACATAGGCTCTAATCTCAAGGATCTTCAGTCCAAGGGATGTGATAAAATATGTATACAAACATCTTACTTGTAAGGAGAAGAGTGACAAATGCCTTGGGGTGGGGGAAGTCCTAAATAAAATGGTATAGGAATTTGGCAATGGGGCCAATTATCTTCAGCTGGTAAGAAAAAGAAAGAATTCATGTAAAGTTGCCATTTTAGCAAAAGATTATAAAGGATTAGATATGGGAAGATGAGAGAAAAGTCCTCCAGCTGAAGAAACTGTGCAAGTAAAGCATGAAGCCAGCAAAAAAAGTTTGGCTAAAGTAAAGAATGTGTTAAGATTAGATGGGGAGTGAACAAGAAAGGGCCTCATATTACAGAGCTTGAATTTCATTTTGAAGGAATCAAATAACTTTAAGAATGATTTTCCTCTCTTTTCGTGTCTGCCTTTCATATTTTTGTTTCTTTCTCACCCTAAAGAGCAACTGGTGCAGACCTCTTTGAGCATCTGATGGAAACAATGGACTCTCTTCCCCCCCCCCGCCCAAATGCAACTATTACACATCTCTACAAAATTTTTCATACAAAGAAAATATCTCTCAATAATTTGAAGGTGATAAAATTCTTTTTTAGAATGAGGTGACTTAAACATATTTGTAGGTTTCAGTGATGAGAAAGAGATTGATGATGCAAAAGAGGAAGAACACTGTAAATATATACAATTTGTGTCAATTTAAAACTTTTTTCCATTTAAAAAAAAAAGAGAGAGAAAGATGCAACAAGGTCCAGAAGAGGCAAAGTGGCCCAACTGTCAAAAGACAGCAAAATGAAAGCTGCTTCTAAGGCAAAATTAAAGATCAAATATTAAGGGCTGGCCCCCTGGCGCACTCGGGAGAGTGCAGCGCTGGGAGCCCGGCGGTGCTTCCGCCACGGGTTCGGATCCTATATAGGACTGGCCGGTGTGCTCACTGGCTGAGTGCAGTGCAGGCAACGCCAAGCCAAGGGTTGCGATCCCCTTACCAGTCACGAAAAAGACACACACACAAAAAAGATCAAATATTAAATAGCAATATTCTCATTTTTAAGCTTTGTGTTACCTTAGGTACTTGCTCCAGATCTGTCCTGGATTTATCTATGAAAAAAAGGAAAAGGAAAAATATGACTTTTTAAACTTGTTTTCATTTTACGTCCATCAAATATATTTTGACAGATTCAATATTGTACTGGGTCACAACCAGATAACTACTTAAGTTTCTTCCTTCAATGAGTATCTACAAGCACCTATTGTATGCTTAGTTGTAGGCAAAGCACTGAACAAGACATATGTTTCAAATAATTTTTTGTTTCAAATAATTTTAATAAATTGTATAGCAGCAATGAAACAGCTAAATATATTTCAACTCTTTTTCTAAATGGAGACAGAAAACTTGATGCTATCTTACTAAGTTTTGGTAAGTTTAACACTGAACAAGACATATGTTTCAAATAATTTTTTGTTTCAAATAATTTTAATAAATTGTATAGCAGCAATGAAACAGCTAAATATATTTTAACTCTTTTTCTAAATGGAGACAGAAAACTTGATGCTATCTTACTAAGTTTTGGTAAGTTTAAGGATAACATGGCTACGTAGTTTTAAAAAATGAATTAAATGCTAAAATAGGTATACTATTTTGTATTGTAAAACAACAATATTCTTATTGTTTTAAATATCTACCATCCCATCCAGAATTTATGATCAAAGATTGCTTTGCTTTTTTAAACTGTATTAATTTTCTTCTCGGACATCTTAGTTTGTATCACCTACAAACTTATCAGCAAATGAACCTGCTTTATTCTGCCAATCCAATCTCAGATGAGGTACCACTATCCTCTACACAGCTAACCTTTCTGCACTTGGACTCCATCCCCTCCTGCCTCTTCTGTGAGCCTGCTTCATCAATTACCCTGCCTCTCTCCATATCTTCGACCGCTTCCCTTCTACTAGCTCTTTTATTTCTGCATAGAAACACACTCAGTTCTCTCCAATTTAAAAAAAAAAAAAAAAAGAACAAAAAGAAAAGATAAAACCCAGGGCAGGGAGGCAAGGGAGGCACCTCAAGTGCAAAATGTAAGGAAACACTTACACTTAGGGTTATGTAAATGCCTTTCTTGCCTCATCTAGCCTGGGCCATGAAAAAAATATTCTTCTACTCTGTTCCCTCTAGTCAATATGCTATCTCAAATTTTCACGTCACATCCATACTGATAGTCTGTATTTCTATCTCTTACATTCACTCCTTAATATATAGTATTGAGGTTTCTGTAATCACCACTCCAGTCTAACTGTTTTCCTTAAGATCTCCTAATTGCCAAATCCAAGGAGACTTCTCCACGTACAAATTGATCTAGTATTCTAACCTTTTAGACTAATCATTCTCACTTCTCTAAAACTCTCACTACCTTACATTTCTATGATGGAGTTCTCTCTTGGTTGACTTTCTTATCTCGCTGACCACTTTTTTAGTCTCCTTCACAAGTATCTCATCTATCTGCTCCTTAGATGTGACAGCTTCATAGTGTTCTATCATCAGTCCTTTTCTTCTCAATATTCACAACCTCCCTAGGTGATCCTATTCATGCCCTTGGATTCAACTACCATGTTACTGTCTAGCATATTGTCTATGATGTCTACCATACCTACATCTTCAGCCTACCTCTCTCTTTCCTGAGCTTTGGGTTGCCGAACAGACATGTCCTTCACTGAAACTCTGCAGCTAAACTAGCCTCCGTCTCCTCTAAAAGTCCTCTTCCTATATTGCCTCTTCACTGAATTGTACCTCTCACAAGCCCAAGCAAGAAACCAGGAGACATCTTTGAATCATCTTGCTCCATGATCAGCAAATGACTGGCCATCAAAACCTGTGCCTCAATATCAGAGTTATCTCTCAAAGGCCTAATTTCTTCTCCTTCTTCATCTCCATTGTAACTGTTATTGGAACCACATTACATCTCACATATTACTTCATACCCTCCAACTGTCTCCTTGCCTCCAGTTTTATCATCATTCCATAATTCATTATCCACAAATGTTTTCACAGTGAAAACGTATAATCATGAATCTGATCATGTCTGGTTAAAAATATTTCATAGCTCTATGCTGCCTTTAGAAAAAGTAAAATTCCTGAGCATGGCATACAAGGCTCTTCATAATCTGACCCCTTGCCTATTGCATTAGACTCATCTGTTGCTCACAGTAGAACTAACGTACTAAACTCTTACATTCCTTCAACATGTGACAGGCATACCTCATTTTACTGTGCTTTGCTTTATTGCACTTTTTTGCACATTTTTGCATTTTTTACAAATTGAAGGTCTGTGGCAAACGTGCATCCAGCAATTCTATCAGTGCCATTTTTCCAGCAGCATTTGTTCACTTGGTGTCTTTATGACACATTTTGGTAATTCTTCCAATACTTCAAATTTTTCATGTTTATTATATCTGTTATGTGATCTGTGACCAGTGATCTTTGACAATACTATTATAATCGTTTTGGGGGCATCACAAACCATGCGCAGGTAAGACAGCAAACTTAATCGATAATGTTGTATGTGTTCTGACTGCTCCACCATCTGGCCATTCCCCTGTCTCTCTCCCTCTCCTCAGGCCTCCTGATTCCCTGAGAGACAACAATATTGAAATTAGGCCTGTTAATAACCCTACACTGGCCAGTAAGTGTTCAAGTGAAAGGATGAGCCACACATCTCTTACTTTAAATCAAAAGCTAAAAATGCTTAAGCTTAGTGAGGAAGGCATGTCAAAAGCTAAAATAGGCTGAAAGCTAGCCCTCTTGTACCAGTGAGCCAAGTTGCAAGCACAAAGGAAAAGCAGTTGAAGAAAATTAAAAGTGCTACACGCAAATGCTAAGAAAGTGAAACAACCTTTTTGCTGATATGG